GTGGTATTATATGCTTTGTTCTACCCCTGAGGAGTTCCTCGGCTAACCAAAAATAACCCCCTCCTCACAGAATTGCACATACAAGCCAAATCTTTTCAAAAATGATGTCCCTTACGAGGCTGTCGAGAAACCAAAGTATTTCAGTGCAATGATGGCATGGCACTGCTATGCCTAGTTTGATAGCACAGCCGGAACTATGCGCTTCTTTCTGTCGACCCTTCTCTTACCATATGCACCACTTGTTCCATTACCTGCAACTAAAGGAACTCACGCTTTATTCTGACTAATTATGTGGTCAGGTCTGATGACGTGCTACACACCTGTTGGGAATAAATATGATAACGTCACACTTTGTGGGTGCAAGGTGCACATTAATGGACAGAGTGACTCTGGTCAGTTCATTATCAAAAAAATTTGCGCCTCCTCGAAGATGAGAACGATGCCTTCACACCCCATATCGGCAATACTTTTGCTAGAACATAATTGAAAACTGGTTCGGAAGACATTTAAGTGTTTGAATCCATTATCTCGTCGGTCACGAAGTCAAGTGGGAATGAAGAAAGGACGCTCTCGATGGACAACTTTGTGCACGGAAGCTTTTGCAGCTCACATATATTTTCATAAAATATCCGTCCATTCTGCATCTCCTGTCTAGGACGATGCATATGACTCCACGTTTGACAACCCTCCATTCAACTGCGTGCCTCTTCCCCAAAGTGCAATCCTCCCTCATGACGAACCTCACAATCTGCTTTCTGCAACGAGGGAAGGGAAGACTGCTTCCGGTCTGAGCTCGCCCTGGTTGGGGCATACATCCCGAGCGAGCGCTCTATGAACCGAAATATCTACTGAAAGAAGAAAAAAGGTGCCACAAGACTCATCGAATACACGTGATATGACGCCTCAGAGGAACTTGATTTTGCAAAGCTTCACTCTTTTCTTTAGGCTGTAACAGCTCCATTCTAAGATCCGCTCACTGTACGAACAGGCAACAACACAAGACATCCCTGATCTCATGTCCCTGCAACACATGCACAATCTGGCCAATGCACGTCCGTAATACTCATATATGTCCTCACCAGTTTGAAGCAACCACATACTTACCATCTGCACGTAAATATCGAATACCGTGTTTGAGATAGGACAGTGTCGCCTCACTGAATTCTGACTGTTATTTCGGAAGTCATTGTAACTCACATCACTGCCTTCTAGCAAAGCTTTCGGACACTTTTCCCCATTCAGAGTCCTCGATACAGACGTAGATGCTGTGAATGACTACAATGAACCAGCGCGAACCCTTGATAGACCCATGACAACCATGGACGGTTCATCCAAAATGTTCATGTATGAGGCTTTCCACGAACTGAATTACGGCGTCGTGATGACGGTACCGCGACTACCATACCCAGCTCGATGGCTTGCCCGTAGATAATTATATCCCTAATATTTCACAGACGGGGGTGGCACCCAGAGGACCGCTGCAGACCGCTTAATTTGTGCAAGGTCTCGAAAGCAGTGGCCACCTAATTGTGCCATCTGCTTGGTCTGCCCACAGACCCACTAGTTTATCCAAGGGCACTATTGGCGGCTTGGTATGCTGACAATTAAAAAACAAAATCTTGCTAGCCTTGACGAGTTCCTTGGCTTCTGCGGAACGCTTGCCGCAACCATAGAAAAAGTTTTCATATCCAGATTGCGATTTGCCGCTCCAACTTGGGTTTGCGCATATGCAATCGACGTGATTATTTTCTAATTCGTTTTGAAGTTATTTCCAGTTCTAATACGTAAGGATCCGCGCAAAGAAACCAGCTACCCCATAAAATTATCAACTAGTTGCATAGAGACGATGAATGAAGTCACCCACGGTTAATAAAATACGAATTCCGGGTCCACAGTGGACTCCCAGTACGTTTAAATAACTCCTGTCAAGACAGCGTTTGGATATGGAGATCCCAGGCGCCCGAATAATTGCCATCATATGCTGATAATGTATGTTGAAGTTGCCCTCTTTCGAACCACGGTTTCAGAGAAATTTGACGTGTGCGTCTAGGACGCGGCGGAATAATGAGGATGGCATACCCTTTGGAAAGGAACTACCACAATCACGAAAGTTTTTATGACCTTTAAAAATGCCACTTTTTACGCAGTACAAATTAATTCTTAGAGTGAGCTAGGGTCCTCCGTGCGCCTGGATCTTGAGGCAGGATGTCAAATAAAACAAGGATGCGCGGCTGCAGTAACCTACGTTAGATGGTAACTCTGGTACTACCGCCTGTGTGTGCGGACCACAGTGGGTTTTCAATTGAAGCGATTAGCAGGCGATACTTTTCACAGGGTGCTGTTCCAGATCAGCCTAAAAACAAGTGCGGAATAAACGTATGAAAAGTTTACACGTTGTTGGGTGCATCATCACGCCACAGTTTGCACGCAGGCTAACTTTTGCGTTTTGATGACAAGGATGATCCTCCTCGCATAGGTTCTTTTCTAAGCAGAAGATAGAATATGTTACGATTATATGACCGCTGGTGCTGACTGAGGACTTTCTGCGGGCCGCATGCAACGTAAATGTTTTTACCCAACTGATTCGCTTAAGCGCTTATCCGGAGGAACAGGGCTATTGTTAACGTGCAGTGGCAGTTCCACTGCATTAAGTTGAGTGAGTAGTCGATGTTAACGGCCACTTATCGTGAATTGGCCAGAACACGTTAAAAAACGCCACCGCAGTATCACACTGATTTGCAAGACTATGACCTGCAGGGTGATATCATATTTTAATAAAAGATCTAGATGTACTTTTTGGGTAAGATCATCTCTCCCACACAAATACGGAAGAGACAAGAGAAGCGCAAACATCTTCATTTCTGTAGCTTGTACTTGAAGACTTGCCCTCAGGACAACTTAGGTGACGCTGTAATTTAAATAATGAATTGATGCACCTAAAGTTGTAACCCATTTAGTAGAGCAGAAGAAGGCAATTTGCCAGCCATTTTAGCGATATCCGGTTGAGATTGAATGGTGGAAAAACCTTATTAGAAGAATATCAAGCGACATCATAGGAAAGAATTTTTTGAAGGGCCCTGTTGTTTCTGCCGCAATTATACTCTCCCGGCCAACTTAACTAATCGTGGCGGGCCAACTTGTGCCAATGAAATGCTTTCTTGACAGAAAATCTGTTCAGAACCATTAAGGGAGTGGTGTAGTGCAACCTATGCACTATAGATATCATAACCCAGACCGCCGATGGTTCCACACCCAGTACACATTATATGAGATGCTGAGTGAAGAAGTATCCCTTATAAAGGAGGACGTTTTAGTTCTTTTATGTGGTGACATCGTAATACCTCGTTTGGAATGTTGTGTAATGACCTGTAAGGTATGACCGATAAGATACAGGAAATCTCTGAATTTGTCCTACTAGGTGCATGTGAGAACGCGGGGTTGTTTTGAGATAGGGTGGAAAAACTTATTAGAAGAATATCAAGCGACATCATAGGAAAGAATTTTTTGAAGGGCCCTGTTGTTTCTGCCGCAATTATACTCTCCCGGCCAACTTAACTAATCGTGGCGGGCCAACTTGTGCAAATGAAATGCTTTCTTGACAGAAAATCTGTTCAGAACCATTAAGGGAGTGGTGTAGTGCAACCTATGCACTATAGATATCATAACCCAGACCGCCGATGGTTCCACACCCAGTACACATTATATGAGATGCTGAGTGAAGAAGTATCCCTTATAAATGAGGACGTTTTAGTTCTTTTATGTGGTGCCATCGTAATACCTCGTTTGGAATGTTGTGTAATGACCTGTAAGGTATGACCGATAAGATACAGGAAATCTCTGAATTTGTCCTACTAGGTGCATGTGAGAACGCGGGGTGGTTTTGAGATAGGTCATTTATTAAACCAGGCCGATTCACGCGGCAAAAGAGCATCAGTACTCAGCGGATGGATTGTATCTGACACTCCCAAACTACCATGCGGTGGCTGCAATAAGGTGGAGTGAAGTTCCAAGCAGTCCTATGGGCTACCATTCTCCTAACAACGGCATCGGAATTTAGTGATCTCAGACATTGTCGGTACGGCTCCTCAAACTTGTCCTTCTCACTGCATCATGAGAAATCGGCTCAAAAGGCACTCGCCATTTTACGGATGATCCGACACAACTTCTCCCGTATCACTCTCATGGACTTCCAAGTACCCTATGCGTCCTACGTTAGAGCACTCCTGGAGTACGCCAACCAAGTTGTCTACTCAGGACGCACGAAAGACGTCACCCTCATTGGGCCTGTCCAGTGAGGCGCTACGAAAATGATTGCCGGTCTTAAGTCTGTGTACTACGAAACCCGTCTCGCGAAGCCTGATATCTTTCTTCCGGAGTATCCTCGCCTGCGAGGGGGGGCTAATTCTTACTTATGCCCTGTTTGAACAAAGCTTGGTCAACAGGTTTTTCCCCGCTGACCCAGCGAACACACGGGGCACATGGTACGAAGATTTTTATGCTTAGATCGCACAACTCCATTAGACAAATTCTTTTCTCATGTCAATTAGTAGCTGTGTGGAATGACCTTCCTCCGACGGTTGTCCACGCTCCTTCTAGAACCCAGTTCAAAGCACTATTAGACATTTATTTATGTAAATCATCGCGCTGGCAAACATACTACCCCGCGCTGAGAACACGAAGAGCAGTGCTACACCCTTTCTTCACATGCGCCTTTCGGTGAGCGACAAGAACAAAATGACCCAGGACACTTGAGCAAAACCCTCGATCCTGTGTATCAATACGTGAACCTGTCCTTCCAAGGTCATCATCATAGGGGATGAAAACCGAAGTGGAAACTAAATTCAGCTCACCGCCGATGCCCAGAGAAGTACCACCTAAACCACCAGTGCAAGAATACGGATGATTATTAGATCATGTTGACATTCTTTTCCTGCCTTGTCCTATCCTGCGATAGTTCACCAATCACGTATGAGTTTCCAGTTAGGTCCGCCGCCGAGCTCGTAAACTTGACATGGCTGGACGGCTTCCTGCGATTGTAGTCGATAATGGCACTGGGTACGTCCCGTAGAACCCATCCCCGCGCTCTTTTGTTAGTAAATAATTGTCTCAAGATGTTCATGCATGGTATCTTGGAGCAGAGATTGGATGCTTGTATGTAAAGAGGCTTTGCCAACGTCATTGGGCGTTGGGTTGTGTGCGTGAAAGCAGACATGATCGGACTCCTAGTCACATCTTTTCCGCTCATTTGTGTTGCCTTTTGATCTCAAAAACTGGTCCGTCTTTGAAGGTTCCTCGCTTCCATCTTACCCAATACCAAGCGTTCGTCCTCTGCACCTTTTCTACAATGAATATCACTATTACCACAACTTTTCGATTCTTCATTTTTGTGACCTATGGGGAGTTCATGAAAGGCTCCGTAGGATCTTAATAATAAATGGAACCTTAATTTGGTTTATATGCACTGCAACAGCGTTTTTAAGTTTTTGTTCCAGTCGCTCTCCGTCTTTGCGTAAGGTGTAATGCTTTTTAAAATATAATCCGGCGCCTTACACGGTCTCCACATGCATGTGATAGGAGTGTTGTTGACACAAATCACTGATACCAAAAGCGCCATTCAGCGACTATATATAACTATACAATCGAAAATGAGGTATTTACCCACCCCATCCACGAGCCAGTAGCTGCTACTGCCGTACCCTACCCTTTCAGGACGGACACAGTCTACGGCGTATATAATAGGGAAAGCATAAAAGCATGCCTGAATCTCACCCTCTTCGTTTTTAATAACAAGGTTTAGGAATGCATTATCCAGTACCCTCAGTTTTGGCAAATATATTTATGGAAGGATTTGGACAGAGGGCTGTAACCGGGTTCCCTTACCTACCCCAGGTATTCGGACAATGGCCCAAATTGAAGCAAAGAACAGTCTTCGGGATAGTGGATATCCGGCTAGTTTGGTTAAGCGTCAACTTCCAAGAGTGTTGCTACCGGTGAAAGAAAGGAAGCCTTCGCTGGGGGGTCATTTATTAGAAAACACCAACTGAACAGGAAAGCAAAACTCTCATATGCATCCTGTTTATAAGAACTGTATATCCGTCTTCTTCTTGAACACGTCTTCCTGAACTCTCCTAGACATCAACTATCACTCAAATGCAAACGAATGCTACAAAGCATTTCTACAAATTCGGTAATAAATCCCACTTTCCAACAGACGCAAAGCGGAGTTGCGAAGAAACATTACTCGCATGCCTCATCAGTAGTATCCACCGTTACACCAGTAGCGAAACCCAACAGGTAATGGATTGGGACTGATGTTATTCCATATAGACCAGGGAAATCGGAGATCAGTCGAAGGATTCTAAGCACGACTGACATAAGAGTAGCATTCCAAAGGGGAAGCACTCTGTGCTCCGCATTGGTGCAATTGAAGGATTGCCTCCCGGCAAACAGAACCCAAGACTGTGTCTACAAAGTTGGGTGTAATGACTGCACTAAGGTCTGTATAGGACATACGGCCAGGGAAATTCAAACCAGAATCGGAGAGCGTAGGGGGAAACTAAACACACATCACTTGGCTTGATGAAGCCTTTACATCCAAAGCGAAGAGTTGCCCAATAGTAAACTATCTATTGTTTGCCAAGCTCTTCTGACACGATGAATTCTCGATTCGCTTCAAAATTCTTCAGATTAATTGAAAACAACTGATAGGGAGAAACATCACAAACGAGAGATTCAGCTGGTTTCCAGGTGAGTCTCTCGCAAAAACCAAATTACTTTGCAAACAAGTGTATTTCGTTAACTGATAAAGATGTTTTAACGCATAAATAATTTCCTTCCTTCCCATTTCGGAGTGGCGCAAACCAACAAGTGGACAGAATACGACATCGCATGAAGGAAAATGTGTTACGGAAATTCTGGGTATCACTGGTCCTGTTCATCTTACAGGACCGGTCCCGCATGATCCTTCCCATGCTTGGCCACTAAGAGACATGGCGGCTAACTGCTATTAGTGCTGCATGTACCTTCAGTTTCTATCCAGATTATTGGAATGTGTGAGTCGGCGTGCGCCCGTCGGGTATTCGCGGCAGTCCAGCCCTAGTTACCCTCCGTAAGGCGCGGGGGCATCACTTGAACAGTGATATCTTGCTGTCGATGCTGATGTTGGCGATGATGAGGTGACCCGAACTACTCTATTTTCGTTTCAACTGCGGGTTGTACGGCAACGAAGTACTAGTGTTCTTCTCCTGTAGTGTTGTCAACGATGATAATTTGGAGACTTTGCATCAACCCCAAAGTTCATCCCAGCTCGTCTGATGCGGTCAACATGTTAACCCTGGAGTCCGTGGGTCCCCGAAGTGATTTGGTCTATATATGTAGGATTCTGACGAGCAATTTACGGGACAAACAGCAGCACTTCTGAAACAATTTCTATGGTTTTTTCTGCATGCTTAGTTAACGGGGAAGTTTCAGTTAGCTTCGCTCAGAGGTCAGGTGTTATCGTCTACCAATGACTTGCGCACTCCATCAGACCAGTGAACAATACTGGAGAATGTTCATGCATCTAAACAATCTCCTATCAGGTTGGTTGATGGATAGAGGTGAAATAAATCCAATCTTTTCGCCCTCCCGTTGATGATGAAGGTCTGTTCTTTGGGACTTGAACTACTGCGGTAGTTTTGCGCGAATCACCGCTGCTTTGCGGTCAGGCTCTTGAGCCTCAGTCGTCTTCTCTAGACGTGGGCGCGTTGTCAGTACCTTAGCTCACATACAACAATGAACTGCACGAGAGAATGTCTTCGTGCCATATCGGACGTTGTGCAATGCCATCAGCCGGGGCGGCTTATTCACTACATACAGCAGGGCAGACAAGCGGGAACCTGTGGTTCGGTTCAATTTCTCATGTCACAAACCGTGCACCGAAGTGCAGTGTTTCGAGCTGCTACAGCTTCGTTCGCCGAAGTAAGAGGAATAAAGGAATGCGGACTACGATTTGAAGGCAGTGGCTCAATGTGTGTAATAATGCTTTGGTGTCTTGATGAGAAATAGATGTTTGTCTAGTACGGCGTAATGTGCAAGCTACATAGTGAGGGCGAGTCGTGATGCGAGACCACCATTGGGTGCGTAACGCAACCATGTTCGCTAGGATCATTAATCGCTGGTTAGTCTCATCCAGTTGTCCCCTTCTGGGTAGGCGGGAGCTACCGACGTTGCTGGGTTGACTTGTAATGGCTATCATTCTTCGTTGTCAAGTCATGGCGTCACAAAATACTGGACCTTGTAGTGTGACTGTATGCCTCCGTGACCCATTCAGCTGCACTGCGTGTTGTTCTTATGACACTGACAGAGTCTCATACCTAGTTGTTCAATAGGTAAAGTTTTACTAACAGTCTCCCGGTACTCCAGGTTCAGTGTTTGAAAATGTGTGGTGGTATGTTCTTCAAAAGGACGCACTGACATTTTCCACCAACCGTCACTGCCTGTTGGTCAGGCTTTTGAGCCAAAGTTTTTGCTTGAGGACCCTAATCATTCTCCTCTCTAGGGATGAGCACCATGACCGTATCCAAGTCCACGTATCACCATTAATTAAGAGTCTGGAATTGTGTTTTTACGGTATCAAAGCATCAGTGTTCGAACACTGATGTTATGCTGTCAACGATGGTGTTGATGTAGACAATGATACCTGCACTGAACACCCCAGGTTGTCTCCATCCGATACACGACTGAGCAAATTGAGCTAAAGGACGCTCTGGAACGCGAAGTACATGGTCTAGCCAGCGTAAAATGTTGGATGTGGCCACGTGATCTATCGAGGGACAGTAAACTTTCCTGAAAACATACAAAAGTACTCCAGCGTTACTTATGTTTCCATCAGATTTGCGCAAAGCTCCAGTGTATCGATGACCAAACGCATAGAGCCTCCAAGGGCTTTTCACATGCGGCGTCTACACCTCTGATCCGTACAGTAGACAGGTCGGGCCGCTGCATTACGCACTCTATCCCCGGAAGTTCAGCTGATATCACGTTGGCACCACAGGCATCGCTGTCCTGGCCTTTAAAATTAGTGGAGTGATTTCCTCCTACGCTGGTCCTCCGGGACATACGTAGCCGCTTCGGTAAACGAACTGCATTCGTCGGGCCACCTGCAAGTAGAAGGTTTGAGTTTAATCCGAGATAATCTTGAGGGGCGAGACAGCCCAAGTGGTCAGAGCGCAAATTTACGGACCGGAAGTTCCGTGATTCGAATCCGACTTCAGCCAGCCACTTCCCCTGTCTATGCTTAGGTAACCTGGCAGTATCTCAGCCCTTGTGCTTCTTCCGGGTGGCATGGCAGGCGGGCACCGGAAGGGTGTTACAGCTGAACAATTTTTCCCAGCCAGTATTGCAGCAGCACTTTGAAGGTATGAAGTTCATAAAAAAATTGTACTGGAAAGATGGCCGAACACTTCGAAGAGCAGTTCAGCTGGCCTCATGCAACACAGCCAGTGGAGGTAATGCATAAGGGCGAATGGAATGTAAACCTTGATCGCCCTTCAGAAGAAGAAATAAGGTACGAAATAGCCGTACCGAAACGTGAGAAGGCACCA